GGCCCACTTGCTTAAAAGCATTCCCCTTTCAATTGGTTGCTCAACCACAGAACCCAAAGCCAGCTGAAACTCTGAAATTTGAAAACCATCCCCAGCCCTGAAACTGCAAACTCTTTATTAAACCGTGCTAAAAAAATGCCAAAAAACAATCAGGACAAGGGTACCCCTCACAGACCCCACAGAACCACAATAATGTGATTGTTTTAGGGCCCCCCCTCCCAGAAAATAAACTATCAGTTGCTTTGCTCAAAAGCATTCCCCTTTCAATTGGTGGCCCACTTGCTTAAAAGCATCCCCTTTCAATTGGTGGCCCACTTGCTTAAAAGCATTCCCCTTTCAATTGGTTGCTCAACCACAGAACCCAAAGCCAAACCCCCAGTTGATAAGCTGCACCTGCTTCTTGTGCCATTGCTGGCTGAAGCCACTCAAACAGAAAAGTATCTGAGCCACTCACAGAAAAGTCACTGAATTCCAATGCTGCATGAATCTGAAGCTTGCACCTGAACCTTTCACCTGCACATGTATGAATTTGGCTGCAAATGCTGAACTATTTTTGCAAAGCAAATGGTCTGTCTTTGAGCTCAAGCTGGGCTGAAGAAAAGCTCACTGCTTCAGAACCGCACCTAATTATGAACAATTTCACATGAGCTGAATGATTAACACTGAAATGATTTCCTCAAATACTTCATTAGGCAATTACTCAAGTGTTCCAGTGAGCAGCAGGTCTGCCCAGCTCAATCATGCTCTAAAAACACTGCATTGTGCTGAAGAGGCACTGAAGTGTTCATCAGGCAATTCCATCAAACAACTCCAGCTGAACTTGAAACAGCAACACCATAATTAATTGAACATGTTGGTGTCTTAGCCTGAAACCGAGGCCTGCAATGCATGCCTGAAATGAACCTGAATGCCCCTTGACACTGGCTCAAGGAGTGTCAAAGCCTAGCTGAAGCTTCTGCCTCAACAAGCTTCCAACTGCTTTGCAGCTCTGAAGGCGCCCTCAAGCTAACCATCTCGCCTGTACCTGAGGTGATCAACCTTAGCTGCTGACTGTTTGTAGCTAACAAAATAATTAGTGGCTTGGCTAACCAAATCCCACCAACACGAATGAAAGTTAATGAATCATATCAGCAAGTAATTAAATGCACAAGTTGAAAAAACAAAAACAAAAGCAAAAAAGAAAGCAGCCTAATTAAGCCAGTTAAGTGGCTTCAGCCTGAGTGAGGTGCTCAGGCATCCTCTGAGGTGCAGCTGGAACAGGAAATTCTCTCTGAAGCAGCTGCTGGGCCTTGATGATGAGACCCTGAACAGGGCTCAGCCAGCAACATGCTTGAAGATAACTTTAATTACCAACCAAAAGCAGCTGAAACATAAGCTCAAAGCTTGCTAAAGTAAGTATATGTTTTCCAACATGGTCCTGTCGCCTTCCTAAGGCTGACCTCAAGGCAAAGGCTGCTGAGCTGAAAGCAGGGGCTGCTGCAAGCAATACCTGATCTGTCAAATCCTGAGTCAAGTTGGTGGATTCAAATCATTGCAAGTTGTTTGAACTTCTTCCAACAGCACAAAAACACCTGAGTTGCTGAAATGATGGCAAGTGTCAGCATTGAACTTAAAGTCCTCAACCTCAGGCCTCAAGCAGTTCGCCATCATGAGGTTGTGGTCCCACTCAATGGAAGGCTGCTCCCCAAGGTACTCCTTAGCCACACAGTGCCAACTAATTAATGATTAGATAATTTTAATTAGTTTAATTATCAGCCCCCAGCCCAACAACATAGGTAATTAAAGCACAATGGTCACAGCCAAGGCTCTGAAACCAGCAGATCATACTGAACTGAATTCAGTGTCTCCCACTGAGCAGTCCTCAAGATGAGATCCCACTCAACCAGCTTGTCCTCAGCATTGAAGCAGAGCTCATGAAGTGCTTAATCATGAAAGGACCCAGGCCTAAAACAAATTGCACAAAACTAAAACTATTTTATGCCAATTAGGCAAAGCTCTTGCATCTGAAGATGGAGTGAACCCTGAAGGAAGCTGAATCTCTCAATTGCAAGGAACTCTTGGAAAGCGGCTGCCCCTGAATGGCCTCACATGGCTGAGCAACAAGACTAAACATGCAAAACATTAGTAATTAAGTCATATGCATAACAATTTAGTCATTAACAGAGCTGAAATAGATGACCACATTAAAAGGCATACCCAGGCACGTGGGCTGAAGTCACTGAAGATCTGGCTGAGGTGCCTGCAGGCATCTCTGGGCGAGCCAGTCTTGGTGTCCATTCCTGAGTTGGCTGCAAGGCAATGCCTCAAACTTTAATTGCTCAGCAACAGAAAAACAAGAAAACTTTCCTTGCTAAATATACCCCATCAGCAAAAAATGAGCAGAGATAAGCATAACCATTCAGCTAAGTGGCGGCGCTCAATGACTGAAGCTTTCTCAACCAGCTGCCACACTAAAGTTGATGCAGCATCCACAAGGCTGACCAGCTTCTTCACTTGAACCATGGTGACCGCAACCAGGATGCTGAAAGCCTGTGCTGGAAATGAACCAAAATGTGGCTGTTCCAGAAAAAACCTTTAATGTCATATACAAAAAACAACTAGCACCAATCATGAAAGCCAAGAGTCAATCTGAAAAAGGCTCACCCCCAAGATCTCCTCCAGCTGAATGACCACAGGGCTGATGGGGTTGATGCCTGCCCAGGGCTTACTTAATCAGCCAACACAGCTTAAGCAAAGGCACCTGAAGCCATCCCTGAAGAGATCATCAATGCCACAATGAAGATCATCTTAAGAGCCATCCTTAGCAGGGCTGGCTGGCACTGTTTGATTAAGCAACACCTAAAACAACAACTAGATTAAAAAAAGAACAGGTTGCTGTTCAGTTGGGTTGAGCAGCTCAGAATGGCGCACAACTGAATCAGAATCTGAAGCTTGAAGTCTTCATGCAGCACAATCTGAACATGCCCACCTGTCAAGCTCAACTTCCAAGCCAAAGCTCAACACCTAAGCATGCTCAAGTTCCCACATGCTCAAAACACATGCTCAGCTGCAAGGCTCAACTCCCAAACACAAGTAATTACTCCAGTTCCCCCACACCCAGTCTTCAACCTCCAATCTGACCTCACACAATCCTAAAGCTGCTGGTGCACTTTTCTTGTGCTCCAACGGTTCAAGAAGTTTGGCCCTGAAGAGCTGAACTCACCAAAAACACAAAAATACATAATTAGCCTGAACTTTGCTGTGTTACTCAACAGTTGCCAAACTGAAGCTAATGCTGAAAAGCCGGCCAAAGGCTGCAGTGCCTAAGCACCTATTCCAACGAAGAGCTGAAGCTCAAGCAGCTTAAGGTGCACTAACCAATGAGGACTGGTCAACTGATTGATTAAGTATGTCCATCTAAATCTCACTCAAGCTGCTGAACCATGCTCTCAATTTGTTCTTTGGAGACACCTTCCTTGTGAAGCTTCTCAAGCTGCTTCTGAAGGCCCCTCCTCTTGTGCTCAGCCTCAAGCAGCACAAATTTCTCTGAAAGGCCTTCAACACATTCCTGAGCTCCCTCAAGGTCTGCAATCTTGCTGTCAGTCTTCCTCAACTTCTCTGACAGCTCCTTGCCCTCTAAAGTGGCCTCCTGAATGCCATTCTCAAGTCCTGCCTTCAGGCACTGCAAATGCAATCTCAGCCAGCCAATGTTGGCAGCCTCCCCAAGCTGAATCTCCCTCTCAATGGCCTCTCAGGGTCAACTCAGAGTTGACTGGCACCAAAGTCAAAACCAAAAAAAGCAAAAGAACACTGGCTTTTTCCCAAGCCTTGATGTCGCTCTGAACCTGAGCCAGGAAAGGAAGACGCGGCGCTGGTGCCTTGGCACTGAGTCCTGGAGGGCCTGAAGAGGTGGCTGAAGATGCTGGAGGTGGAAGCAACCTGAGACACCTGAAGCCCAAGATGTGGGATCCAGGGGCTCATGGGCACTGAATACTCCCTCAATTGCCACATCATCCAGTTCCTCTTGCCTCATCATCAAGCAATTCATAGCAAAAGCAAACTAGTTTGCACTTAAAAACTGAAATTGGCACAGCAAGAAACTAAAATTGTGATCCAGCATGTGGCTAAGTTGCACCGGAAGTGTGAATCCAAGCATCACCTGAAGCTGGTTGGCCCAATCTGATCAACTAAACATGTCACCCCCTAAGCACTAAAACAAACAATTAGAAAGGAAAGCAAAACACTCAATGCCAAGTGCAAATCAGTCACAGCCTGGGCTCTGGCAAACTGTGTATGGTTCAGGCTCAATTTGCTGGTACTTAACCTCAGCCTGATCATGTACAGGTTGCCTGTTTCCTGAACTCATGGCTGCACAGGAGGCTGAAACTGCTGCCCAAAAGCTGAAATTGAGCTGAAGCGGCAAACCATGCATCTGGCTCAAGGTGGCTCAAGCTGGCCAAACCTGGTTTCTAGCTCAAGCCCTCCCTGGCTGAAAGGCACACCCCTTTGAATGGCTACAGAAAGAACTGAAGGGAAGTGGTTGCAATACTAAAGTAGTATTCCAAAAAGTCTGCTCAGGAAGAAGTGGTTGCAATACTAAAGTAGAATTGCAAAAAGGAAGTGGCTGCAATACTACAGCAGAACTGCAAAAAGGAAGTGGCTGCAATACTAAAGTAGAATTGCAAAAAGGAAGCGGCTGCAATACTAAAGTAGAACTGCAAAAAGGAAGCTGCAATACTAAAGTAGAATTGGCTGCAATACTAAAGTAGAACTGCAAAAAGGAAGTGGCTGCAATACTAAAGTAGAATTGGGCCCCAAAACCCTCCATTGTTTGGACGTCCCAAAAGTGCACCCCCCATTATTTTGGCGCCTCCATTGTTCGGGGGGGGGGGCCCTTTATTAATCAAGTGCCAACATTAGTAAGAAACCGAAGTTGATGGTGGTTGGATTGGGATGTTCACTGGGGGTGCTATTTGGATTTTGACCCATCCATGGCCATATTTTCAGCCCCTCCGTCCGAGGCAGCCGCCCGCCGCTGCCGCTGCAGGCGGCGCACGTCTGCGTGGAGATGCCGAGCAGCGCCACGAAGCGCGCGAGGCGCCTCGTTGGGGGTTGTGATTGCGAGGGGGGGGGGGGGTTGAGTTTTTCCACATTTGTTTCAGTCAAGGTTCCTTCGGTTGATTTTGTCTGTATCTCTGTCTCTCTGTCTCTCTGTCTCTCTGTCTCTCTGTCTCTCTCTCTCTCTCTCTCACTCTCGCTCTCTCTCTCTCTCTCTGTCTCTCTGTCATTCTCACTCTCTCACTCTCTCTCTCTCTCTCTCTCTGTGTCTCTGTCTCACTCTCTCTCTCTCTCTCTCTCTCTCTCTCTCTCTCTCTCTGTCTCTCTCTCTCTCTCTGTCTCTCTGTCTCTCTGTCTCTCTCACTATCTCACTCTCTCTCTCTCTCTCTCTCTGTGTCTCTGTCTCACTCTCTCTCTGTCTCTCTGTGTCTCTGTCTCACTCTCTCTCTCTCTCTGTCTGTCTCTGTCTCACTCTCTCTCTCTCTCTGTCTGTCTGTCTGTTTGACTGTTTGTCTGTTTGTCTGTTTGTCTGTTTGTCTGTTTGCTTGTTTGCTTGTTTGCTTGTTTGCAGTTTTTGCTTTGCTTTGCTTGCTTGGTCCCGTAGGGGATCCAAGCCAAGGGTGTGCAGATGGTTTCCAGATGCTTGGTTGGACATCCCCCCCAGTTTTGGGCGGTTTCCCTTTGGTTTCCCTTAGCCTCAAAACAGGACACTACATTGAATTGGTCTTCAGGGCTTCAGGGAGAATTGACTTCCCGAAGCGCGTTCGTGGCCTTCGGCAGGATGCTGGCTTACCTCCTGGACGAGCATCTCTCTGAGGAGGAGTGGTTGAAACGCGGGTGAGTCCCCCGCAAGTCTGGGCTGAATCGCCTTGTTTTGTAGAGCACGGACCCCCCGACCAAATCCTTCCCTGAACCACAGTCAAGGAACCAGGAAAGCTTAGCCTTCGCAAAGCTCTTTGAAGGGTCCCGGGGGCGTATAGATTGTTGGTGGGGGCGGGTCACTGTCAATCTGTCAATGACGTAAATGTTATTGAGTTTCCCATGGTAGATCGGATTATCTTTGATGACATGGGCTAGCTAGCCCTTTCACTCAGTGAGGCACCGGCCCACTTCGTCCCAGTCAAGACAAAGCTTCTGGGACCCCTCCAAGGTTCTGCTTCTGGTTTTCCTTGAAAGCGGATTCCCCTCATGTTGATACGGCGAGTCTTGGACCAAAAGCGCCCCATTGCGGCCCTCCACTGCTCGGCCTCGGGTGGTTTGGGGGACCGCTTGACCGCAAGCGGCCTCGAAGATTGGCCCAAGCGTCAGGTTCCAAAGGGAAGCTGCCGCGGTTTTTTCGGGTTCCCCAGTTGATCAGAAAGGGCCTGGAAAACTGGATGGGGTTGTGACGGTGAACCAGCCAGAGACAGGTTTAAGTGGGAACTGCAACCACTGTGATGTCAACGGAAGGCCTTACAAGTAGCTAACTCTCCATAGGGTAAGGTTTACCTATCACTGGGATCCGAGTCCTCATTGAGGTTGTTTCCTTTGGGTATTCACAGGGAACACGCACAAGGATGTCACTTGACGGCCCCAGTTTCTTTGAAAGGCGACCCTTTTCGCGCTCAGGACGGACAGGCGAAGAAGGCCGTGCGGAGTGCAGATTCGGATTTTCGATTGGGTCACGGGTGGTTGACTCTGGGGTGTTTGTCATGCTTTTTTGTTTGGTTCGATCGCTCGAGTTATTTGTTGGTTTCAGATTTGCAAGTAAGCAACCAGTAGACAAGTGGTTGGGCCAAAGAACCACTCAGCTCTGCTGCTATTGGGTTGGACTTGCCAGGGCATGACCGAGACCGGGTGTTGGGAATGAACCTGTCTTGAAGGAAACCAAATCGGGCATGTTGTTTTTTTCTTCTTTTTTTTCGCGGGGTCATTCCAACGCTGCCTATCGAACCACTGAGGCCCTGCAGTGCCACGCACTGCTCAGAGAAACAGTCTATTTTAGTGGTTGGAATGGTTGATGTTCACTGGGGGCTAACCGATTTGGATTTTGGCCCATGGCCATTTGCTTTGTCCTGCGAAAACCTTCTCAAAGCTTTTGAAGGCACCTTGAGCTTTGGGAGGCAACCCCCTCAAGCGATGGTTTCAACGGAAACCGCCAGGGCGCCCTCTTGCATCTTTCGGTTTGGACCCAGGCAATGGATCAACTTTTCATTTGGGGAACTCCAGCGACTGTTCAATTTCATACTTCGACCCTAAACCTGGATGTTGGTTTGGAAACATTTTACATTTCGGCTTATTGTGGTTTGGTTGAACTCCACCCACTTACCCGCTAAGATTTGAGAATTTGTGCTCCCCAAACCCAACGCCAACGAAGTAAACTATATCATTTGGAGGTGTCCTTGGTGGATTTGGTTGAAGAATAGGTTTGGCGATTCCTGGTTTACCCAGTGGTTCATTCAACCAGGGAAATCCATTTCGTACCACCCAAGAAACCCTGTAATGAATTAATTCCCCAACGTAAATACCAAGAATACCAACAAACCATAGTTTCCCATGGTTTCATTTCGTGGTGCGAAATGGATCTCGTCCACCCACACTGTGGCCGCCCGACCGACCTCACTTCATTTCCCCCGCTTGATTTCCCCCATACCCGTTGACAAAAATCGTGTCCGCGATTCATTTGGAGGAGTCCCCGGAAACCCAAGAGGCTCCATCCAGTGACCCGACCTGACCCCTCCCGACCGACCCCACCGACCCGGGCGCCGGCGGCACAAACCCGCGCCCGAGACCCGCCTGCGACCCGCGCGGAGAGAGGCCCTGGTCTTCGTGCGGAAAGGCGAGGCCGCGCAGCTGGCCGGCCACGCCATGCTGCGCCAGCGTGTGCTGGCGGCGCCCTGGCGCCCAATTTTCGTTGCCGGTTGCCAACGCGCCTGGTGGGTCGGTCCCCCGGTTGTTTTAGGGAAAAGTCCTTGGTTTGGTGGATTTGGAAACGGAAACTGAAAGGGAAAACCACCCGTTTTGGTCGGGTAAATGTCATTTTTGGTTTAGTTTGGTTAGAAATAGATGGGTTCCACTGGTTTAGATGGTTTTTTTGTCCCATTTACCAGGGAAACCCATCGATTGTTCCATCAGCTTGCTATATGCGCGTATTGTTGATTCATTTTTCTGTGGGTGTTTTTTTTTAAGGGAACTCCCCTTTTGGTGGGTTTTACAGGGAAGCAGAAGGAAGACTCACCATCTTGGCGGGTCACCTAAAAAGACACACACACACACACATTTGATTCTCACAAATAATGGTATGCAACATGCAAATCATATACCTCCCAACTGGGGCTTACTGTCTGGCAGCCCGTGCCGCCTTTGCTCTTTACCGGTCACAGGCCCCTGTTGGCCGTCACCCAACTGACCGTTTTTTTTTTCTCGGTCATTTCTGTACGAATGTTGAAAAGGCCATAATGGTTTGGGTATGACTATTTGTTTCGCTCAAAGGCGTATGCCAAAGAAGCCGGCAGAATGGGGCGAATGGTTCTACCTGGTTTCATGGGTTTAAACCTTCAAAACCATGTTGGGAATTTCTGGGTTGCTATGGGATTAGCGTGGGATATGGGCAAAGGGATGGTAGAAGCAATACTGTTTTTTTTCTTTTTCTTTTTTTGTTTTTTTTAAATATATATATATATATACATATAACTAACCAAATAAATAAATAAATAAACAACAAAATCACGAGTCCACCAGCCAGTTACCAAGCTTGCTCGCTGTTTCCATCATCTTCCGCACAGAGAACATGGTTGCGAGCCACAATCAAATCCCGGTTGAAGGGTAAGGCACAGTCCGAACCATGGGTGAGGATATGCATAGGATTCTTTACATTGTGACATGGCTCTGGGTCAAAACCAATGGGATCCCATTTTGGGGTAGGTGAATTCACCACCCATTTTTTAGTCTATTTTAGTGGTTGGATTGGGATGTTCACTCATGGCCACATGGTTCTAGAACCCCAAGTACCGGGGTTAAAATTGTGACTCCAGATTGCCAACTGGTTCAGTTTGGTTCTTATCATCTAGAAGTGCCATCGACTCTTCCTTTTTAAACCTCTGAACCATGGCACTTTTCTGCCGCTGCCTTGAGGGCACCGAAATCAAACTTTGTCGCCTGAGGTGCATGAGCAGATGGCTCCAGAGGAGCAACAGGAGCGGGGGTGCGGAGGTGGCGATGGGATTCATCCGGGCAAAGGAAGCCCCTTGGAGCTAGGCCTGGGGGCTTGGTATTGCCCTGCAGGAGACATGTTTTCCTTTTTTGTTTGTTTCATGGGGAAACCAAAGGGGAAAACCACCAGAATGTGCGGTCCGATTCCCAAAAAATGACACCCACATGTGGAAAGCTGCAGTTATCAGCCCTTCGCTGCAGTTTAGGGCCGGTTTCTGTGAAAAGCCTCTCGGCGAGTCCGTTTGAAAGTGACAAAGTTTATCACAGGCATGGAGACTTTGGCATTACCGGATTTGCCCACCATGACTTCAGAGGGTCAGAAAGTGATTGACCCAACAGAAGTCATGATTCCGCGCGTCACAAGATTTGTCAGGGAATGCTTCAGGGAACACTTCAACAAAAGTCACGATTCACACAGTAATTTGAGGTGTTCACATCTTCCGCGTCAGACAATTGCCGGGCATGCTTGAGTTCCCGCGGGCCATGCGCATGGCCCTCCGCGGTTAGGGGCATCCTGTGACAGCTGATTTCCGGAACAACGGTCTAAACTTGGTGTTCCCAGCCATCCCCGTAGGTTCTTTGGTTTTTTATTTATTTATTTATTTATTTTCCAGGGTTTGGCGGTAGCTTCCATTAAACTCGCAAAAGTTAAACTGTTAGCAGGGGATTTGAGGACTGCCCAGTAAAGAAAGCCTCCTTTTGAGCAGAACCATTGCTTTGGCACAACTTCCTCTTGGGATGCTCAAGACGCTAGAAAGATAGGAACACTACAACCATGGGCGACCCGTATACAGTACTTGGGTTGGTGGTTTCCAGAAAAAAAGCCGCACATTTTTCGACCTTCCCAAGTTTTTGGGGCGGGCCCAAGAGGTTTCCACCATTTCCCTTCAGAACCTCCACAAGTGGCAGTTTCAATGGACACCACCGGAAGCTAAATCTGTTTTCGACCCCGTATTTTTTTGGGGGGTTTTTGCGGGGATCAACAAGTCAGCTCTAGCTGCCTTTTGATGTCCCTGTAAGGGCCGAAATGATATATACCAAGGCTCTTACGTACCCCTCAATGGGCTGGGATTTGAAGACCTTCTTGAGGACCAGCCCTTTCACACCACCCCTTACCCTCCCAGCAATTGCCATGGAACCTTACGTTCGGGATCCGGTCCCTTCAAAAGGACAATGGTCCAAACCACGACCTTTCCCCCCTCCCGTCCAGGTCAGCTTCCATGTGAAACCGGGATGGCGCCGTGGTTACAGCATACTAAGTGGAGACCCAAGAAACTGCCGCAAGGTCAGGTTCCACGAAAAGACACGGGAGGCTGCCATGGTCATAGCCTAGGAGCTGCCATGGTCATACCCTACTAAGATAGACAAACCAGAAGAAAAGTTGGTACCCTTATTCTAACCTCTCTACTAAAAAACCTAGGGATTAAACATGTGGCCAAGGAGCTGCTGGCTCTCTTCCGCACGCTGCCAAGCTCGGTGCTGCTGGGCACCGACGTGGCGCTGAAGGGCCAAAACCTGCCGCCGGTGCCGCTGGTGCTGCATCTGCCACTTGGAGCGCCCGGGCGGTGGAACGGCGGCGTTCCACTCGGCGTGTGTCTCTGTTCTTTTTGAGGGATTTTGAGATGGCCCACCAATGGTACCAGTTTGGGGTCGGTGCACCACCCATCTTAGTCTATTTTAGTGAGGATTGGGATGTTCGCTGGGGGTACGGGCTTTTGACCCATAGGGTAGAGGGTGTCACTCTCGCAGTTTGTGGTGTTCTCCTGGTGTCAGCAGGAGTTTGGTTGTGGTTCGGGTCATCTTCTGTGATTCCGATGGACAAACCCACATGTCGCACCAGGCGGGAGGGGTGCATTTGAAACCAGGATTCAAAAAATATATATTTTATCCATCCCTGAGTTCCTTTTCGGCCAGACCATGTTAGTGGGAAACAAACAGTTTAGACCTGTTGTTACGGCCAATCCGCTCGAGTGGTTTCACCGCACTCAAAATAGAGATATTCGCCACTCGCTTTTGTTCGTTTCTGGGAATTTCAGGGGTCAAAAGACAAGAGGGATTCCAAACATGTCCAAATTCAAAGTTTAGTGGTCAAAAGAGATAAACTCGAAGGTTGGATTCCCCATTCTCTTCACCCATCGTTCTCTTGAGAAACCACCTATTCTCCAGGGCTTTGGTCCATATTTGAAGAGAATGATGCCTGAAGAGAATGGGGAGGGTACAGCTAGAAAAGCATGTTTTGGCCAATCCACTGGCTTGGAAGCGAGAGAGAGATTCAACCTGAGCAAATGGATTTTCGGGTCGCACATGAGGTCCAGCCCGCCGACCCCCGACATCTACCTGAGCCGAGTGGCGCGCCTGGGCGCTTCCAAGGGCCGGCGCTCTTCCTCAGCGCATGGAAGCGGGGCGCTTTGGCGAGGGGAGAGGGAGTTTGGGAGTTCCCCAAACCTGTTTTTTTCGGCAGACCTTCCAAGGTTTTCCTTAGTGCCTCGCGTTTTTTCACCACCAACGGGACCAGTTCATCAGTTCCCCGAAAAGGGTGTTGTTTTCTTTTGCAGACCAGCAAATTGCTGCTGGGTGTCCAATTTGGGTTTTGCTTTCACCAACAAGACGCCGAACATCAACTGCGCTTGGCTTTGCGCGGAGTTTTGTGCCAGCACGCCTCAATATTAGGGCCGGCCAAATGTCATCTCGTTTTGGTTTGTAGTCGGGGAGCTGTGGGCCTCTGAGGGATCTGTGGGCTGAAAAAAGATCGGTTTTGGAGACCCTCCTGCCCACAGGTGCATGGAACCCACCAAAGAGGCTCGGATTGAAAGGAAAGTGGACTTCCAGCACCCCCCGCAATCAGGCGCTTTATGTTTTTGTGGAGAGGAGAGCCGGATGGGGGTCCCCGGTGAACATGCCGAGTTCTCATGCTTGTTCTTTTTTGGGGGGGCGGTTCCCCTTCAAACGAGCATTTAGAGGGTAAGTGTGTTTTGGAGGTCTTACTAAACGGGGCCCAATCTTTTGGGGAATCCCTTAGCTCGCTTGGGTTGGTTTGCATATGGATTACCCCGGTTCTTGACTCACTCCCTGAGCTTGACTTTCATTTGCTTGGACCAGAGTGGCCAATGAAAGATTTGGCCCACTTTTGGGCCAACGCAGTCATCAGCAGCCCTGTCAGCCGTCAGTCAAAGGGAGTCAGCTTGTATAGTAGAACTCCACCAAATGGTATATAACAAATATCCTTATGATAGAAACCATATGATAGAACACATGTGGCTGTGGGGTAGGTGCACCACCCATTTTAGTCTATTTTAGAGGGGATTGGTTGATGTTCGCTGGGAGCTCACCGGGCTTTTGACCCATGGCCTATAGAAATCCTGTGAAGCTGAATTCCACCGTCAGCGAACCCTCCGTCCGGCGAGGCCACGTCGCTGCTACTCTTCGGGCCCCACGAAGTCTCGCGCCTCAGGGACCTAGAGCGCCTCGGATGGAGATCCGCCCATGGCTATGGCTATGGAACTCGTCTCCTTTTCTGATGGCGCAGCCTGCCATCCGGTTCCATCCGGCTTTGTAGCCTTTTGGTGTTTAGTGTGGTAGTTTCCGAATTTAACAAACACGAGAAGTGGGTCACTTTTAGCGGGGGATCTGAAAACGGGCAGCCCAGTTGTTTTTGGTTTTGGTGGTTTTAGCGGGCAAGCAAAAGGTAAACCACTTCTTCTTCTTCTTTTTGTTTTTGGGGGGGGGTAGAGCAGACACGTGTATGCGTTGAGAATGCGGGAATGATAGAGTTGGGTAAGTTTCTACCAAATCCGTTTGCAGAAGCATGTTTGGACCATGGCACATATCTTGGGTATCTGTCAAAATCCAATCAAATGGGGTGGGTGTTCCTTTGTGCCTTTTAAAACAACATAAAATGGTTTCCAATGCACAAAGCCAAATAGAGCATTTGTGCAACCTCTAATCATGGATTTTAACAGCAGCTTGTAGTGGTGTGTTCCCGGTGTTCCCTAGATCCCGTGGTTTGTGTAATCCAAGGTTCTTGCTTGCATCGCACAACACCATGCGTTCAATCCTGAGGGCCCAATCACCCTCCCTCCAAACATGGAAGTGCACAAACGTTTGGACCAGAAGACGACCCTCCCACCAATTAACATGAAACCTGACCTTTTGGGGGTCCTGGTTTGGCCATTTTCTTTTCAACCGGGTCCCAGACAGACGGACGAACGGACAGACAGGCAGCCGGGGTTTGGGAGTTTTAGGGTTTAGGGTTTGGGACTTGGGTTTCTTACGGTTTAGGGTTTAGGGTTGGGGAGTTTCAGGGTTTAGTTAGCACTCCCACATCAGTTTTCTAGGTTTTGGAGAAGTGGAAGTTTGTTTTTGACGGCAGGGCCAACACGTTTCAGGTTTGTTGGCTTAAAAGACTAAAGAACACATGGTGTTTCTATGGTGCACGCACAGACACACACACAAACAAACCAACAAACCAACCAACCAACTAACAAACCAACCAACAAATAAGCAATCAAGCAAGCAAGCAAGCAAGCATACACACACACACAAAAACACAAATACATACATACATACATACATACATACATACATACATACATACATACATACATACATACATACATACATACATACATACATACATACATACATTACATACATACATACATACATACATACATACATACATACATACATACATACATACATACATACATACATACATACATACATACATACACAAATACATACACACATAAGTACCTATCTACCTACCTACCTACCTACATACATACATACATACATGCACGCATATGCACACACACACGCATCTGGGGGGCCTACCTTTCCTTTCTTCTAGTTGAAGGTGTCAAGTCTACTCTGTGTGCCTCGTTCTTGCAGATGCCTGAACACACTGTAAAAACAGTGTTTCTGTTGGTGTTTTATCTTCTATATGACAGCAAATGCTTGCTTTGTTTACGCTTGAAAGGCAACAAATGACAAAGCGAAAACGGAATCCGTTTTCAGATTCGAGTCTGGCTTTGTTTGAAAACACCGGTTTTTACAGTGGTTTAAGTACACCAGGGAAAAGCCATTGAACAAATGATGTATTTTGCGGCTTTGAGCTCTGCAACCTGACAGACCCAAAAGCACAACACCTCCTGAAAATGAAAGCCCTGAGACCAAACAAATGCCCAGACCAATTTTGGGAGTCTGGGGCTATTTGCCCATTGTTTAGCCACATTTAATCTAAATCATATTGCTATTGGATTTTTTTCTTTGCAAAGGCCAAGTGAGTTCTTTCCAGAATAAGCTCTATTCCAATTCAAATATGTCTGCATTTAAGTGTATTTAAACTCTACTGAAATGTTCTTTTTCCTTATTTGGAAAGGTATTCCTGTTCACACCTCTGATCAAATATAGAAAGTATGGTGAAGTATGAATTGTGGTGAATTATGTCCTTACTAAATTCTATTCAATATTCAAATTCCAATCGGAGCAAAGTCTTACTTGGAAAGGAATGTATATTTGGACTTGTTGGAGGACTCCTGGCTCCAGATTCCAGGTTTCAGGTGCTTCACCATGGACATTTCAAGGGATTGGAGGTCCAACAAAATGCTGTGTGTTTTGAAGACATTGCTCAAGATTGTTCATTTCCCAAACAACATTTTGCCTCCTTCAACATTCCAATTCAATTCGGAGATGCTTCTTGGAAAGGAATTCATGTTGGAGGACTCCCAGCTCCAAAGTATGAGGCTTGGAGAATCTAACATTAGACACTTCGAGGATCCAAAATGGACATGTCAAGGGATTAGAGGCCAACAAAATGCTGAAAAAACGAGGTGTTTTGCAGAAATTGCTCAGATTGTGCTTCCTTGGGCTGAAGATTGTTTCTTTTCCCAAACAACATTTTCCCCCAAACAACAGCATTTGCTACGCATTAAGCCTACGTAAGGTGTATAAACGTGCAGGAAAGTTTAAACCTTCTTTTGTGTTTGGCATTTTCCCGCAACATGCCAACACCCTGGGAAGTCTTCATTGTCATGGTATCCTTGAAAGCGGAGGGAGGGGGGCGGGGTTGGAAGTCTCGGGGGAGGGGGCTGGAAGTCTCAGCAGTGTGACCCAACCAAACTTTGTCAAAGACTTCTCCCCCCCCCCTCCCCTGTCCCGTCCCAGGCTGCCTTGTTGCAGTGAAACCATCACACCCTTGACATATTTTATAAACTTTCCTGAAAGTTTATAAACTCTTCGCTGTTGTTACTCAACAGACTTGTTATCCACACAAAAATGTGCAACAACAGCACACTTCTTGCGTATACGTGCTCACCCCCCCTGTCTTTAAAAAACGAGGATTTTGTAAGTGGAAGGGTGGGCGCTGCGGGGGGTTGGGGTGAGCATATATATATATATATATATTTACATATTTACATATAGAACGATTCTACACACACACACACACCTACACTCACTAGACACCGGCAAGCGCCTGTCTCAGTTGTCCACGCACCCACGTGTCCGTGTGTGTGTGTGTGTGTATGTGTGTGTATTTGTGTGTGTGTGTGTGTGTGTGCGCGCTTGCTTGTTTGTTTGCTTGCTTGCTTGCTTGTTTGTTTGTTTGTTTGTTTGTTTGTTTGTTTGTTTGTTTGTTTGTTTGTTTGTTTTATGTTTGTTTGTTTGTTTTATGTTTGTTTCTTTGCTTGTTTGTTTGTTTGTTTGTTTGTATGTTTGTTTGTTTCTTTGTTTGTTTGTTCGTTTGTTTTTTGTTTGTGTGTTTGTTTGTTTGTTTGTTTGTTTGTTTGTTTGTTTGTTTTTTTGTGTGTGTTTTTGTGTTTGTGTGCGTTTGTGTGCGGTTTTTTTGGTGTGTGTTTTTTGTGTGTGTTTTGTGTGTGTGTGTGTTTTGTGTGTGTTGTGTGTGTGTTGCGTGTGTATGTGTGTGTATGTGTGTTGGTCTGGTGTTGTGCGTGCGTGTGCGTGTGCGTGTGCGTGTGCGTGTGCGTGTGCGTGTGCGTGTGAATGCGCGTGCGCGTGCGCGTGCGCGTGCGCGTGCGCGTGCGTGTGCGTGTGCGTGTGCGTGTGCGTGTGCGTGTGCGTGTGCATGTGCGTGTGTGCGTGCGTGTGTGCGTGTGTGCGTGTGTGGGTGTGTGTGTGTGTGTCTGTGTTTCTGTGTGTCTGTGTGTCTGTGTGTCTGTGTGTCTGTGTGTCTGTGTGTCTGTGTGTCTGTGTGTCTGTGTCTGTGTCTGTGTGTTTTGTGTCCATGTGAGTGTGTCTGTGTGTGTGTTTCTGTTTCTGTTTCTGTTTCTGTGTTCGTGTGTCCATTTGCGTGCGTTTTTCTGTGTGTTTTGTATGTTTGCGCGTTTCTGTGTGTGTGTGCTCGTACGTGTGTTTTGGGTGTCTGCATGTGTGCGTACGTGGGCGTGAGCGTGTGCGTGCGCGCGTGTGTGCGTGCGCGCGCGCGCATCTTCGCATGCGTGCCGGGTTTCCGGGAGCCAGCCCATGGTGGCAAAGCTGCAGCCGCGTCGAGGTAGCATCGTCGTGTGGGGTTCGGGTGTCCCCAAACCAAGCCAAAGTGTACTTTCTTTACTACACTTGTACTGAAAAGATGCGACTTTCGAGCCGAGCTGCCAAAGTGTACTTTCTTGACTAAAAAGATGTGACTTTCGAGCCGAAGCTGCCAAAGTGTACTTTCTGTACTCCACTTGTACTGAAAAGATGCGACTTTCGAGCCGGAGCTGCCAAAGTATACTTCCTTTAACTGAAAAGTTGCGACTTTCGAGCCGGAGCTGCCAAAGTGTACTTTCTTGACTAAAAAGATGTGACTTTCGAGCCGAAGCTGCCAAAGTATACTTCATTCACTGCACTTGTACTGAAAGATGCGACTGTCGAGCCGGACTGCCAAAATTCCTTCCTACACTTGTACTGAAAAGATGCGACTTTCGAGCCGGAGCTGCCAAAGTGTACTTCCTTTAACACACTTGTACTGAAAAGTTGTGGCTTTCCAGCCGGAGCTGCCAAAGTGTACTTCCATTACTACACTTGTACTGAAAGCTGGCAGAGTGTACTTCCATGTTTTCACGTGAAACGTTGACATGCACAAAACCCTGTAAAACGATAGGGTTATAATAAAATCGATAACCTCTACCTGATGTTCTTTGGCTATACAAGAGGTTTCGCAAGTTGCTCATATATGTATATACATATGTGTGTGTGCATTTATACACTTTTTGTTTATATATATATATATATACATATACATATCTGTTTTTTACCTACGCGCATAGCCATACATACATATGTTATGTACACTACATACATACATACATCATGTGTATCTCTGTATGTAAATACACATAGTTTACCTATTATCAATATTCTGCATACGAATTATAAATGTTACGTGTATCATGTATATTATGTACATACATATCATGTACATCTATCTGTAAATACATGTTTGTCTTGGTCCTTGCTGCCAAGGCGGGAGCTGGGCTTTCGCCTCACCGCAGTGCCTGCACCTTCGGAGAGCGCGGTGCGTTCCGCAGCGTTGCAGGCCGTGACCAAGGAGCTGCAGCTGGCGGCACGTCAGCGCCTGCGACAAAAGCCACCACCCTACTGTGGGTGGACGAAGTCCATGTCGCACCACCTAACAAATCTTGGAATGGTCTGATTCGCCTGTAAATGCCAACAAAAATTATGGTTTCTCATGGTTTCTTGGGTGGTGCGAAATGGATTACGCCCATGCACAGTATGACAAGCTGAATTTGGGCGTTGCGCGCGTTTTTTGTTTGAAGGACCCCTCTTGCTTCTTGTTCAGGGGAGACTGAAAGTCAAAAACCAGTGTTTCAGGGGGGGTTCTCAAAAAGAGACACGCCGATGCAGGGCAAGTTGCAATGCAGCACTCCAATTAGATTAAATCATTTCCCGAGTTCAAAACTGTGTGGGATGATCGTTTCAGCGTCATCAAAGAGTTTGCTTTCGCCAACCCGCTGGCCCGGAAGTGAGCTCAGCTTTCTTGACGGCTCTTTGGGCAGAAGTCTTTTTTGGAGGTCATTCCAAGCGCTGGGCAAATGTGTTCTCAGCTTGGCTGTTGACCCCTCTGCAAAAAGGTGTCGAATGTTGGGTCCAACGGTCTAAGGAGAAATCCAGAATGGCTTACAACGCATGGGTTTTCTTAGTTGCCCAAAGCCGACCTGTTGACCTTTTGGTTCCTCTTTGGTCGGTTTGGTTGATGGGTCGTGACAAGGACAATCTACTTTTCACCATGATAATTCTGATTTGCCATTTTGCCATATATAAAAATCCCTCCAATTCTTTGTCAGTTCGGATTTATCATAGTACATTATATGGGTGTGGCTCAAAATGAAAGAGCTGAAATTTCGCGGTGGTTTAGTCTTTGTTTCCATTTACGGGGCCATGGTGAGTAAAAGTTTTTGAGCCACAGCCATATGGCCATGGGTCCCAATCCAACCACTAAGATAGGTTCTAACATGAGTGGTGAATTCACTTAAATGGGATGCCATTGGTTTTGAGCCACAGCCATATGTCTGCTGCTATTGGGTTAGATCTTTAGACTTTAACTTTTTGGATTCCCCACATATTTCCTTTTAACCCGGCAAGTTCAACTTTTTGCTGGGGGACCTACAGCGCCAAAGGTATAATCCTGCACCACCTAAGAAACCCTGGAATGGTCTGATTCCCCTGTGAATGCCAACAGACGTTATGGTTTCCCATGGTTTCAAAGTGGTGCGAAATGGATTCCGTCCACCCACAGTATGTATAAATAAAAGCCACAATAATCAACCTGCAGCTTACTAATATGGGGGGGTTCCCCTCCAAAAGTGAGGAATCCCCAGTAAAAGAGAAGTAAGAAGGAGTAGCACCCCCCATGAAAAGAATTGGGTACATTCATCCGGGGTCAATCTGAATCTGCGTAAAACCTGTTGTGGCATAGGTACGACGCCGCCGCCTTCGAGCCGGACGCGGAGCAGCAGCTGGAGCTGCACGGCCCGCGGCTGCTGGCGGCGGCGCTGGCCCGGCGGAGACGGGGGGGGAAGGAGGGGAGGGGGAGACACGGCCTCCCCGTAAAGAAGGAACATGTGGCTGTGGTTGTCAAAACCGTTTTGGCATCCCATTTTGGGGGATTGGTGAATTCACCACCCATTTCAGAACCTATTTTAGTGGTTGGATTGGGATGTTCACTGAAAGGTAACCGGGCTTTTGACCCATGACCATATTTCCAGATACTCCCAAATTCACGAGACCAAGAACAAACCATGTTTTAGAGGAAACTCCTTTTGGGATCCTCCTTTTTGGGTTCCTTCAATTCGACCAATTCACAAGGGCATTGGAAGGTGATAGATAGATTCCCTTTCAAGCCAACAGGAACATCCAACATATCTATCCTCGGGTGGTTTGCTTCTGAGTATACAAGAACCTAGGAAGCCGAAAGGGCGCAGAGGATGGTCCCTTTTATAGCTGGGTCCCGTTTTTTTGGGGTTAGTTTGAGTAGAAATAGGGTGAATTCTGCTTCAGCCAGCTTAGGTTATAGCCATGGTTGTCAACTGGGCAACTGAGGCTGACCCGAACGACCCCGGAGGTTGAGGGCCGCTTCAAAGATATCATACTTGAGTGAGTCAAGTGGTACCTGTCCAACATGAGTTTACCAACACGCGAGCATGGATGGCCGGTGCAATTCAGAGCATTTGTATTTTCGGGCTGGTTCATGCATCCCCTGGTAGGAATCGCAAGGGATGGTTCTGTTCGGAGTCATTCCATTGTTATTTGATTCTTTGCCGAGAATTAACAAGCCAAGGTTGACTTGGCAGTGTCTTTCCTGAGGGTCCCTGTTTTGGGTTGAAGCAACAGGAAACTCACCGTGTTCTGTTCAGGGAACCATACATAGACAGGGCTCCTTCAAAGATACATGTTGCCCATTTGAAACATGGCTTTTTCCACTAAAATAAATGGACACCACCATATACAAGGCAATGTTCAGGTGTATAGTGTAAGGATCCCTGATAGAGTTTGGACCCTAGCCCGTCCCCTTTGGTTTCGAGGTTTTTAGGGTTTAGCGGTTTCCATTAACCCTTCGGCAAGGGATCAGAAAACAGACAGCCCATCAGGAAACTCACCATGTTTCTTTGCGACAAACCCATGGCTTCCCTGTTCTTGGATCAAGTTGGTTTTTGTTGTTTTGTTTGTTTTTGTTTGGGGGGGTCTGTTCTTATGTTTAGGTTTGGGGGTTCTGTAGGAGAAACAGAATCAGTCTTTTGCAAGGCCATACCGCTTGTCAACCCTAAATTGGTGGTTTGGTGTGAACCTCTTCTTGTAAAAGGTGAATGGGAACGCCCTCCAACCACCAAACCACCAAACCACCAAACCACCAAACCACCAAACCACCAAACCACCAAACCACCAAACCACCAAACAACGAGGGAAGCTGAACCAAGTCTTAAGGCCAGGGACTCAGGGAGTGAGGCCGCCTTCTTGGATTGGTTTGGGCCTGCGAGAGGTGAGGGGAGGCTGAGTTCTTCCCCAGAATGAGTTCCCCTGTTTTTTGTTGTTTGCTTTTTTGGGGTCCCCTTTGTTTTCCACTAACCAGGCCAAAAACTTGTTTTTTTGCTGGGGTCCTAGTTCCAGCCAAGAAACAGCTTGGGTCCGCGAAAACCAGGTGCTGCTGGAGCGCCGTCGCCGGGGGGAGGAGTGGCTGTCGCCATTGTCTGGGCGTCCCCGGCGGCCTGGCGCTACGTCGGGCGGGTGGACACGGTTTTGTCTATTTGGGTTTGTTGGTTTGTTGTTGCTTCTTTCTTCTTTTTTTTTGAGGGGGGGAACTTTGGTGTGTGTGTGTGTGTGCTTCCTTTTTTTTTGGGTGGGGAACTTTGGTAGGGATTTTGAGCAAAAGGAAAGCAGCCAGTTCGGGTGTCCCCTAGTTTTGAGACACATTTGGGTACGTTCAAGATAGAATCCCGAAAATGAGTGGGTTGTCCATTTGGGTTCTCTTTAAACCAACCTCCAAAACAGGACCCTAAAAAGCACCACCTTTGAGCCTGTGTGGTGCTTTGCAGTGGCACGAAGCTGGCCCTTCCTAGTTTCGGTGTGGATGATGCGAAATTCGGCGCACACATTCGACTAAGTTGTCAGCGGCTCAGGCTAAAACATGCGAAGCTGGATGGCAAGCAACATGAAGGCGATAAGTGGCCTTGACAAGGCTTAAAAACTTACATCCCTGGGTGGGTCTTGGGCTGGTCTGTGTCAAAGAATACTGGGTGAGCCCATTTTGGAGACATACCCTCTGCTTTCAATTGTCAGCTGCCTCTCAGCGGGACGGAAGGGCGTACTGTTCGCAGGGGTTTCGATGAAGGTTTCAAGAAAGTGATAAAGCAGTCATGGAAATTACCCAGGTTTGGACCATTTGTCCTTTTAAAATCGACCCCTTGTCAGTTCCATTCCACAACGATGTGGTGAGTTGCAGTTCTAGACAAGCCAGGGTTGAACATGGCAGGCGGTGTGCTGGCGACAGGACGGTACACTTTTGACATCCCTTTGGGTTGCAAGTTCTGAACCCCCTGGAAGTTTCGAGCTTCTGTTCTGTTTGTTTGCAATAGACACACCAAGACAAGGTGACAGACCATAATCTTACTTCCCTTGGCTGGTCTTTGATCTGACCTTAGGACTTTAACTTTTTGTGGTCAAATTATGGTTTTGCTTCCATGAGACCACTGCATTGCAGGCTTGCTTCGCCATTCTGCCATGGGCACAGGTTTGACACAGGCCATGACTAAGCGAAGCGAAATGACAAGAAAGGGCCGACTTCTTTGCCACTTATGTATCCCCTGGATGTTCAACCCCTAGTCTTGTCCAAGCCAACCACTGCGTTTCCCCAAACGAATCAACCCCTAGAACAGCGAACTCAATCAAACCAACAGTTTGATTGAATCGAACTCAATCAAACCAACAGTTTGATTTTTTGGGGGGGGCCTTTTGGGAGTGAACTCACGCAGGGAAAAACCGGGTTGCTCCTCCCCAACCTCACCCCCCACCCCCCCCTTGTCACCTGCAAGATGTTGCTTCCATCTCGCCGAGGTACACGCCGCTTCTGCTGGCTGACCCGTGCCACGGATTGAAGAAGCGGAAACCAAGCGTCTGTGGGTCAAACAAATGTGCCAGAATGGCAGCTTGGCAAATGGAGCCAAAGGCTAAAACCTGCGTGATCCCAGTCGCTTAACGTTGAGCCACAACGAAGCAGCGCTGTTCGTTCCCCTTCTCTTTGAGGGAATCCGGAACTCCACGTTATCGTTGGACTTGAACTTTTGGTTGAAGCAGAATTTCCGCCCCACAAAAAGTTGTACACTTTTTGTGGATGCTGAGAGTTATGGCTATTCGGCAACGGAGTTTTTGGACTCTAACGTTTGGTTGAAGCAGCAGATTTTCCGCCCCAGAAAAAGTTGAACACTTCTTGCGCAGAGGTGTAAGTAGCCAGCAACCAAGTCTTGCATCAAGAAATGGACACGCCTTTTTTTTGGGTTTGCAAGGAAGCGAAATAGACAAGGCTCCTGAGAGGTTATCATTCTCTCAAGCGGTTTCTTGGCATGCTGCATATGTTTTGTTGGGTGCTATCCTTTCTTCCATTTGCTTAAGGACATTTGTCTGTTGTCCCCTGTTGGTTTTCCAACGGGTCTATCACTACTGCATGTTTTCTGGCCAGTCAATTCAGGCCAACTTCAGAGACCACCCGCATCGGATGCACCAATCCATGGATTGGCTTTGCAACAAGCTGGATGTTTCCAAAATAAGTAAAAGTTACCCCATCTCCAAACAACGCCCGGTCCTCTTTTTCAAAGCTCCACCCGAAACCTGTTTGTTGTTGTTTTTTTTGGGGGGGATTCCGGCTAAGAAACCCCCTTGACCTTGCCAGGCTTCGACATCGCACTGGCTTGGAGGATTCCTGGTTTCCTTCCAGACTTATTTTTGGGTGTGTTTGTTTGTCCAAAGCCCAAGGGCTCCTTTTTTTTGCACCCTCGAAACTTGATTTTTCAAGCCCCTTCCTTTCTTTTACCCTCAAACCTTGCAAGGGGAACCTCTACGGGAACCTTGTTTTTCTAGGCCTCAGGAATCCTTTCTTTCCCTCCCCCCTTAACTTTTTGTCACCTCCTTGTCATTTTCACTACCGACAGTTTATTTCTCCACCCACGAACCAACCCTGCAACCCTATAATCCCTATAACCGACCCTAGACCCTAAGCCAACCCCAAACCAACCCAACCCAGGGCTAACAAAGAAAAGACGCATGTCTCTTCGCGAATCGCCCCGGAGCATTCAAATATGAAGTTGTGTCCAAAATTTCAATTGACACTCAAATGGAAGCAGTGGGTGATTTTATCTTTCCTTGGCATCCACCAACTAATTCCAAGCACGAAGGTGCTAGGGGTGGGCGTTTACCTCCCCCCCAAGGTTTTTCTACCCCACCTTTGCCCACCAGTGCCAGACAAACGGGCCTTTTTGGGTGTGGACCTGTCCGCATAGGTGTCCTTTTTGGGAAAGTAGATGGCCCTGGTAGTTGATTGAAGCACCAGGTAAACCAGGAATCGCCCTCTATGTTTAAACCAAATCAACCAAAGCTTGGTGGTCCCCAGCCATCCGGTTCCTTAGCTGTTCAGCCTTTTAGTGTTTAGTGGTTGCATTTCCATATTCAACCCACTCAGGAAAACAACAACAACAACAACAACAACATCAATACAAGTAGGGGATCTGAAAACGGAGAGCCCAGAAAAAGCACGGGCCTATGTCTGTCTGTGGCTCAGCCTGCGCCCTTGTAGGGGGAATCGAATGATTCCAGGGTTTCTTGTGCGAACTGGCTTTCGTTCCCACCATTATTTTTTAGACATAAGACACATTCCAGGGTTTTTTTTGGTGCGAATTTGATATGGATTTCGTTCCCCCATTTTTTTGTTTGCCATAAACCCACCATGGATCTGTCCGGCGCCTGCGGATTCCGACTCACGGGAGGCACCTGGAGAAGCTGCGGACCCGGCAGTCGGTGGCCGCGGCGCTGCGCCGGGCGCTGAAGGCTAAAGGCGCCGCGGTGGGCGAGAGCCAGGCGGGGGGGGGGGGATAGCGTGGGGGGGGGAGAGGGGGGGGAGAAGGGGGGAGGATGGTTGGGGGATGGGGATGGGGGGAAGAAGGGGGAGAAGGGAAGGGTGGGGGATGTGGATGGGAGGGGGGGGAGTGTGGGGGATGGGGGGGGGGGAGGATGGTTGGGGATGGGGATGGGGAAGCAGGGGGGGATGGGGAGGAGAAGGGAGAAGGGGGTGGATGGGGGGATGGATGTGGTTGGGATGGATGTGGTTGGGGGGATGGATGGGGGGATGGATGGGGGGATGGATGGGGGGATGGATGGGGGGGGAATGGCTGGGGATAAAGGGCGTGGGGAGGGCAACGGGTCAAAGCGGAAATTCTCGAAGTGGTTTACCAGGGTTGCTGCGGCCAAGTTCTGCAACGCCATGTTTAGTTCTGATTATGGGGAACACCGTTTGAACCACACATTGTTGGGCTATGTTTGTTTGAATATGGCACATGGATCCCGGAGATCTCACCTTTTGGGTCCTGACATCATGTTCACAAGAAAAACAACACGAGGTGTTATGTCCACCAAGGTCTGCGTCACATAGCGAAATTGACCCATGTTTGGTTGTCGTTGGGAAACATGTTACATTTTTGCTTTTTGTGGTTTAGTGGGAAATTTCCGCTTAACTGCTAAAACATGTTTTTTTTGCTCCCCTTCCAACGTCAACCAAGCATGGCCCTTTTCGGGTCCTCTGGTTGGTAGCCTCTCGAGCTGAGAGTTTCGCCAGACGGTTTCGGGAAATGGCCAAGAGCCAAGAGCCGACTCGGGGAGATTCGGCCGGACGCAAAAGTGTCCTTTCGGAGTGGGAGGAAATGAGCGTGCTCAAAACCCGGGGATCGATGAAGGATAAGGGGCAGTCCCAGCCAGAAATAGTTGCGGACAGCCGCCTTCTTAATTCTTTACATGGTTCTGGGTAGACCATTTTAACACCGAAGGAAATGTAGGGGGGAGTTTGAAGGCTTGAAAGCGAAACGTAGGAGGCTCGGTTCTTGTTGACATTGGTTTGCGTCGAGCCGAGCTGAGCGCCGGCTCTCTTCCGAGCGCTTGCAGGAGAAGGACACTCCCCAGATTGGGCGCATCGAGCTGACGCGGAAAGGCGGGAGAGAGGTTTTGGGACTCAACGAACGCACCTACTGGGGCCCTTGACAACAGGATGCTTGCCAGTAATTCAGCGGTTGCCCTTCCAAAAGCAAACATGGAACCTGAAAGAGCCTCCCTGCTAAAATGTCGTCCATTTTTTTCAAGTTCCATGAGACAAAAACGGGTGGCCTGCAAAGAATCACGCGTTCTTCCTCGTGATTGGTTTTAAACATCGCCTTGCCTCCTTATGGTGGGTTGATGTTTTTGGAACCCTGGCACAGGACTCCTGAAAGCGTAAGGCTCTCAAAAGGCCCAATGAATCCTCTCAGGCCCTAGGCTTTTCCTTGAGGATCCCTTAGACCCCGCGCCGCCTTCTTTTGGTGTCTTGATTTGCTCGGACCAGGCAAGCGGCAAAATAGGCACAGGCGTCCATTGTGCAGGTGTCTTTACGCAGGAACACCTTGGGCTAACATCAGGAGATCAACCATGATCGACTAGCTAAAAGCAGGTTGTATCTGAGGCTACCATGCAAAGAGCTACCAAGTAAATCCAAGTCCAGGTGTGCACTTCTTGCAAGCCTTTAAGACCCCAAAAAATCCTGTATTGCCCGACTCAACTCGCCTTTTTCGTTTTTTTGCCTGTTGGGTTTCCTTCATGTCCCGCCTTAGCTGGCCAAAGCTTTCGGAATTCTCTGGCTGGAAGTCCGCGGGGCCGGGAGGACTTTTTCGTAAGACGTCTCGTGCTCACGGGGTCGACGGGTTTCAAGATCCACCAGGGAGGGTGCAGTTCGATACCCATTGAAAAACCATTCTACTCTACCCCTTAGAAAAGTGAGAATCTCTTGACGCCGGCGACATTTCCGGGGTCCGGATCTTTTTTTATGTTGGCACACGTCTAACATTTTGAGGGCAAGTCAGAAGTAATATGATTCCGGGGTTCCCATTGAAGTCACGATGACCGACCCACGCCCACGAGGCTGGCTGGTGGATGTGCCGCGGGGGCTGGTGCCCTTGTTGCTGGAAGGGCACCTGCGACTCGACTGCTTGGGTGGGCTCCAACATGTGGGTCTGCATAATTTATGGCGAGCTCACCTGGAGGTATAACGAGCTTACCAGGATCAATTTCCTTTACTTGGATCTCTTAATTCAGGTTCTGGAATTATAGTAAGATTATGGGTATGTCTTTGTTGACGGAAAGCGCTTCTTGAAGCGCTGGGAGTTAGTGTACGAAGTTGTGGGGGGGGGGGGGGGTGGGGGGGGGGGGGGGGTGTGGGGGGGGGGGGGGTAACCTCGTTCCGGGAGATTTGCAGGTCTGGTCAGCTGAAAAATGCTCCCAAAAATGGGAGTATTTTTTGGAGCACTTTCTGCCACCGCAAGGCTGGTTTTTGGTGTTTTTCCCTGTGTTTTTCGCGCTTTTTCGTCGACGCTGCCTATCATGTCTGAGCTTTTCGTCTGTGGCTCTTGCGGGCCAAAAAGCGTGCCAGTTTTACATCATTTTACATTGCTTCCGGCCTCGCCGGACTTGGGCGCACAAGGGGTGCCGGGGATGCAGGGGATGCCGGGGATGCAGGGGATGTCGCTTGTTTCGGAAGTTTTTGTGGTGGTCGGCGATGCTGGGGATGTCGCAGGAAAAATACTCCCATTTTTTGGGAGTATTTTTTGGAGCACTTTCTGCCACCGCAAGGCTGGTTTGCAGGTCCCAGGGAGACGACACGGGGTGTGTAAGTACGGGCGCTGGTTTGGGTTGTTGCTTGTATGTGATTCAGTGCAGGAGGGTTGTGCAGTTGTTGGTTTGCTCTGACTTGGGTCAAGCTGGCAAGGGACAGCAAGGGACAGCAAGGCAAAGCAAGGCAAACCAAGGGAAAGCAAGGGCAAAGGAAGCGAAAGTAGGGGAAAGCAAGCCAGGCAAGGGAAAGCAAGGGACAGCAATGGACAGCAAGGGAAAGCAAGCAACAGCGCGGGCAAAACAAGCCAAAGCAAAGGAAAGCAAGGGACAGCAAGGGACAGCAACAAACAAGCAAGGGAAAGCAAGGGAAACACAAGGGAAAGCAAGGGACAGCAAGGCAAAGCAAGCGAAAGCACAGGCAAAGCAAGGCAAAGCAAAGGAAAGCAAGGGACAGCAAGCAAGGGACTGCAAGGGAAATCAGGGGAAAGCAAGGGAAAGGGAAAGCAATGGAAAGCAAGGCAACGCAAAGGAAAGCAAGGACAAGCAAAGGAAAGCAAAGGACCGCAAGGGACAGCAAGGGAAAGCAAGGGAAACCAAGAGAAAGAAAGGGACAGCAAGGGAAAGCAAGGGAAACAAGGACAATCAAAAAAAAGCATGGGAAGGCAAGCAAAAGCAATGGAAAACAAGGGAGAGCAAGGCAAAGCAAGCAAAAGCACGGGCAAAGGCAAGGCAAAGCAAAGGAACACAAGGGACAGCAAGGGAAAGGGAAAACAAGGGAAAGCAAAGACAAGCAAAGGAAAGCAAGGGACAGCAAGGGAAAGCAAGGGAAAACAAGGGAGAGCAAGGCAAAGCAAGCAAAAGCACGGGCAAAGCAAGGGAAAGAAAGGGAAAGGGAAAGCAGGGACAAGCAAACGAAAGCAAGGGACAGCCAGGGAAGGCAAGGGAAAGCAAGGGAAAACAAGGGAGAGCAAGGCAAAGCAAGCAAAAGCACGGGCAAAGCAAGGCAAAGCAAGGAAGGCAAGGGAAAGCAAGGGAAAGCAAGTGAAAGGGAAAACAAGTGAAAGCAAGGGATAGCAGGGCAAAGAAAGCAAAAGCATGGGCAAAGCAACGCGAAGCAAAGGAACACAAGGGAAAGGAAGGGACAGCAAGGCAAAGCAAGCAAAAGCACGGGCAAAGCAAGGGAAAGCAAGAGACAGCAAGACAGCAAGGCAAAGCAAGCAAAAGCACGGGCACAGAAAGGCAAAGCAAAGGAAAGGAAGGGACAGCAAGGGAAAGCAAAGACAAGCAAAGGAAAGCAAGGGACAGCAAGGGACAGCAAGGCAAGGGAAGCAAGGGAAAACAAGGTAAAGCAAGGGGCAGCAAGGCAAAGCAAGGAAAAGCACGTGCAAAGCAAGGGAGAGCAAGGGAAAGCAAGCGAAAACAAGGGAAAGCAAGGGACAGCAAGGCAAAGCAAGCTAAAGCACGGGCAAAGCAAGGCAAAGCAAAGGAAAGCAAGGGACAGCAAGGGAAAGCAAGGAAATGGGAAAGCAACGGAAAGGGAAAGCAAGGGAAAGCAAGGCAACGCAAGGGAAAAAGCAAGGTCAAGCGAAGGAAGGCAAGGGAAAGCAAGGGAAAACAAGGGAAAGCCATCGCAAGCCGTGGCAGGCGCTTTTTGTTGTTTGCCGTTCTGGTTTTCTTGTAAACTTGTCGAGATTAATTTCGGATTTGGGAGATGTTTGCTAAAATGTATTTTCTTGACGGTTCAATCATTGGCTTGTAGATGTTTTGGAGATTCGTTTCGGATTTGGGACATGTTAGTTTGCTAAAAGTCGAACTTTTAGCAAGGGATCGAGAAGTCACGAGGTTTGCTTGAGGGTAGGTCAGTCCAATGCGAAACGACCAGGTTTAGGCTCACTTTTCAGCCCAACGCAGGCAGTAGAACCCTCTAAGACCTTCCTAAGTGGATCGGGGTGGGGGAGTGAATTTCTCATGACACCAGGTTTGCGCAATATTTGCTTGACCAAGCAAACCAGAAAGACCATTTCTCACGGAATGGTTGTTTCAAGAATTGTTAAAGGATGCGGGCTCATGTACTTTTAGCTAGGTTCCAGGGAAAAAGGGAAACTGCTATTTTGCCATTCTGGGGTCCCACGCCCCACCAGCCCATCTAGTCAGCCAGATACCCATGTTTGTTGGTTTCAAAACGAAACCAACAGAACAAAACACACATTTCTTGGGTGGGGCCCAAAAAAGACGAGGCACCCATACACCAGCGGTGGGTGAGTTGACCCCAATCCGAGGAAGGCCCTTTCCGTGCCGGTGCTGCCGGTCACGGAGCTTCCTGAGATCTTGGAGGATCAGCGCCTCCAGAGCAACGCCCGGGCCGCGCGCAGGCCTGCGCGCGTTCTCGCGGGCGGACGCCCCGATGGGGCGGGGGGTGTTGGATGGGACGAAGATAAGGTCCTATCCCCCAAAGAAGTCTCTGGGCCTTGGGGAAAAAACATGTTTGTATCCTGGCCAACTTCAAACAAGCCTCTGGGAATGGTTTTAAACTTGCTTAGGTGGGTTTGGATGTTTAATTATCCCTCTTTGATCAGACCTTCGTGCACGTTCAGGATCCTAGACGTCTTTGTCGGGTTGCAGGGTCATTTAAAATACCACTCTCGCTCGCAACTTTAATTCGGGGTGGTGTTCAACTGGTCATTGGCAAATCTGTCCGGCAGAAGGGCGCAAGATGGTTCGATGCATGGACCCTGATTAGTCACTCATTAATGTTGACCCCAGAGTAATAAACCTCTGTTTATTTATATGGGGCTGTCCCTGGCTTTAGTTGGGATTTATCACTGTTGGAGGGGAACACCCCCATATGAATAAGCAAGGGCTTAATCCGGGGTCAACATTACGGAGAACCACGTGAAAAATGACGGACACTTTGTCCAGGAAAATTTGTGGAGGTGCCCAAATCGCTTTCACGAACAGCTATGTAGGTATGGATTTTTGTGCATATGCATGATTGCACATGTGTGATGTAGCACTTCTACCTAAACATACGGACGCAGGACATACGTAAACACCTGTACGTGCACATCGGCAATATGCCACGTATACATGGGGGTTGTTCACTACTCCTGGCCCCCAATTTGACCGTGGCTAACTTTTCTCTTTTAGTGGCTTCCAACTGTTCATTCCAATTTGAAGAACACATCTAGTCCTTTGAGTGGTGTCCGGCCACTGGTCATCCCATGAGTAACTGTTCCTATTGTTATGATACATAGCGTCTTTTTGGTGGTTTCCCCAATGGTCATATTATGAGACGTATCTGGCCATCCCATGTTTCCCGGAGTTTTCGACCAAAGCTCTAGGGGTTGATTCCCCTTTCTTTTCCATCATCGTTCTTTTCAAAAACCGGATCCGTTTCCCCTGGTTTTTTCATGATTTCCTGAAAGGAAGGATCCCCGGAAAGACTGGAAATGAAAGGTACCCCTAGATAAGTGGATGAAACACCCAATCATGGTTGTTGTTGGGAAGCATTCTACATTTTGCTTTTTGTGGTTTAGTGGTTGAAATCCAACCACTGAACTGAAAGAATGGAAAACTGGAAGGTTTCCAACCAGGTCTACCGGATTTCGTCGTTACCACTGGCCATCCCATGTTCATCGGATCTTTTTCGATCAAAACCTCTCGCCCCCGCCCTCGCGCGCGCGCACGCCAGGCGCCGCGGAGGAGGAGGGGTGCCGCTGTTCGAGCGTCGGCGGCAGCAGCGCCAGGAGTAGCTCGGCCCGGGCTTTGGGCGGCTTTGGAGGGGTGGGGGCTTGGGGTGGGAGGGTGGGATTGTCGTCTTGCAGTTGGCTGAAGTGTTCTTTTGTCCTTGTTGGTTTTAAAGGGGAAGGGTGGGTTTAGGAAGTGTTTCCTCTTTTGTCCTTGTTGGTTTTAAAGGGGAAGGGTGGGTTTAGGGTTTTTTATTTGCAAAAAGATGCACGTGTTGTAACTTGTCCCTTGTTGGTGTGAAATGGGAATTTTTGAATGCATCACTGCTTTTTAGCTTTTTCGAGGCGGGGAACAAGTTAGTGGAAGTCTCGGGTTGGCTCAGGGTTTTCAGGTTTCGGGTAGGTTTGGATGTTGTTTGGGGGTGGTTTTGGGGTAACAGTCACTGGGATAGTCCTCGAAAAGGGGATCATGTGAAGGGCCGGGTTTGGGTTCCGCATGGGGGTCATGGGCCTTAGAGAATTCATGGCTTGTCCGAAGGGAACAACGGTCAAACCAATGATGTTGAACCAGGGGATTTGTTCGAACGTACTAAAATGCTCAGGGGAAATAATCATTCCCCTGTTAGAGGGATTTTGAGGGACATGGGCATTAATTTTGAGCCCGGACCCGAGTAGAACCTGGCAGGTGAAGAATGGGGGTCAGTGCAAATCCTTGCAAAAATTATCCGGATCCCTCATAGGATGTTAAACAAATGTGTCAGCCAGGGATTTTGAGACCATTCCGTCAGAATTCGCCCGATTCGATTCGCCCTGGCATTGAGATGGCCTTCATTTTTCTGGCAGTGCCAGCTTTGGACCATAATCTATCTCACTTCCTGAGTTCCTGGACTTTAATCACTTGTTGAGATCAGTTTGGTGGCAATTATAAGTTGTGGTTACTCGTTTTGTTTTGTTTTGCTTTTTATCCCTCATTTTTTCCGGCTCGTCTACTCAATCGAAAGTGGCAAACATGAATGGGTTGTTCGGAAAAAGTCGACTCGATTCAGAAGTTTTGGGCCACTCAGCGTCCGACGAAGCGACTGAAACCACCCCTTCCCTTTGCTCTCCTCCACTGCTTTGGTCCGGATCTAGTGGTCGGAGGTCTGGGAAATGGTGCCCCCTCTTTCGGTTGAGAAGCACAAGTGGCAACATGAGTCTTGCTTTTCCAGTTTCTGGACTCTAGGCATTTTAGTTGTCAAGAAGCAAGTCCGACTTTTGGCTGTTTTTTGCTGGGATCCTTTGGATGACCCAGCTGGTGCTTCTTCACGCTCCTTACATGGAAGTAGATAGGAGGGTTTTGGAAGACTACCTCGTTACCTCCTCCTGACAAGGGCCCTGTACTTCTAACGTTAGAAAGGGGCAGTTCACGCAGCGCCGGATATGGGCCCCTGCCAAATTGCAAGCGAGCTTCTTTTGGGGGTGAGGTCTAAAAGAGCAATATCTGGAGTAAACTTAGGATACATTTTACATTGTACCAGTGACTCAAAGTGAAGCAAACAATAAAATATACATTCTATAACTGGGCCTAACTCTAATCGTGATATGGCTATGACAAACAATGATAAGAGTCATCAATAATGATAATGATCATAATAACAACAATGATGAACACATGACTCATACCAACAATAAGAATATTGATGATGGTACTGATGGAAATGACAATAGTCACTGTCATGATAATAGGGCAGTGGGCTGCAGGCCGAGACCACCAAAGCTATGACCCTGTCATGATTCAGGGTGTTCATGCCGAACCTGGCCATGGGGGTCCCCAGGGACCAGAGGCAACACACAACATGATAAACATGATCATACTACCAAGGAACCTCAAAAGTGGTTGGTGGATCGAACTCGAACCAGGCAACAGCCCCTATGCCAGGGGTTCCCTAGTTCCCATTGAGAGAGCCCTGGCTTCAGTTGGATTCCTTTCAATTCCCTCAGCTGACCTTTCGTATTTGTCCAAGGAGTTGTGAGATGTGTGTTTCGGTGTTTGGTCTGCCTTTCAGCCAACCAACGCGAAAACCTGTTGGATTGTCTTATGGGAAGCCAACAGAGCGAGGCGTCCCTAAGCAGAAAGAAGTAAATAAGTACCCTCCCCATCTACAGAGGCCTTCTGGGAACTTCCGGCTAGCCTGAGGGAGTGTACATCTTGGCAGTGAGTCATCATTCATTGGGAGGCCTTGGGCCTCAATATGGCCATGGGTCATAACCTATGCCTCCATTTTGGGGCGGATGAACACCCATGTACCACCTATTTTGATGTTCACCAGGGGTACAGGGTTTTGACCCACAGCCATATGGGGGTGGTGTGTTCAATGAGTTGGTCCAGCGGTTCCCGTTGTGGGCAGGTCTTTTGAGGGTTGTTTTTTTAGGGCGGGTTCAAAGGGAAACCAGTTGGAGACAAATACTCCCGGTTGTTTCCTTGTTCAAAAGACAAGGAAGTGCTTTTGGGAAGGGGTTTAAGTCCACATTTTTTGGTATGACCATTTTAGTGATACACAAAAAGGTTGGACTTCTTCTTACCATTTGTTCGTTCTCCGAGGTTTCTCTACCCATCCGGGCGGCGAACGCTCTTTGGCGCCGGCCTCAGCACGAGTATCCAAGCGGCGAGAAGCCGTGAGAAGCTTGGGAAACCTTGCCAACCAGACCCTTCAGAATGGGGTGGGGTGGGGTGGCTGGGCTTGGCTGGATGGGGTGGGGTGGGAACCCTTCAACATGAGAACCCCTCCAACTGCCACGTGAGCGCGTTTGAGCAACCGAGGCCGCATGGTGCAGGGCGGAAAGCCCACGCCAACGCCAACCGCTGGCCGAAGGGCGGAGAAAAGGCGCGACGACTTTTGTGCAGCCGGGTGCAAGGCAGGTGAGTTGCATTGGGCCCAGACCGGAGGCACCTTACCATACGGCTGTGGGTCAAAATTGGACCACCAGGGAACCACTGGTGTCAGTCCATGGTTCTATTTACCGGGGTTCCATTTTGGGTACCCATTTTTGACCCACAGCCATACGATGCCCTTTTACCGATTCTTTTTTGGGGGAGGGTTCAAACCTACTAAAATAGACGTCCAGAAAAAAGGGTGCCCTTACTCTCTCTACTGGAGGACCTAGGGTGTGTCTTGTTTTGGAGTTGGTACCCGTTTTACCGTGTTTTTGAAGGGACACCACAAACACCGAAGCCATGTTGGGGGGTGCAACCATGAAAAAGACGAGCGACCCGCAGCGCTTTTTGGCGGGTCTCCCTAAGCCAAGCAGCCCAAAAAGGAGAAGCGTCGTTGTTTCCTCCCTTGGGCACAAGTCAAATGGCTTCCATCCAGGGCGCAGATCTGTTTGACAAAAACGAGTACGTGCTGTTGCCTTTCTCAAGCCGTGGCCCAAATTGAGTCCCTGATTTCAGGTGGCCGAACTAAGGCCAAAACAAGATGTCTGGTGTGTGATGGTTAGTTGATGAGCTAGTGAGGGTGGCACACCACTTTCCAGGTGCTGAAAAACAACGTGGAGTTTTGCTCTTGCGCCCGTTCTCCCGGCAAATCAGGCGGTCGGTATTTTCATGCTGCGTGCAGGAACTGTTTGGGATGCACGCCCCTTGCAGTGGCGGCATTTTCATGATGACCGTCTTCATGGTGCTTCACTGCAGGTCGGTAGCGGCCGGCAGGAGATTCTTTGCTACGGCATTAACGCCTTAAGCGGAGCTCGTTGGTCTGCGGCTTTGAAGAAGCGCACGCAGAATCTGCTTCAAGGCAGTTTTACTTGACGCCGCTGCCCGCGGTCTGCCTGCTTTGATCGGGGGCGACCTGAATTGGGACGAGAAGAGTCTGATTTGCCTCAACTCCCAAAAGTGGGCTGGTCTTCACTTGCCGAGCATTTTCGCGGCGTGGGTCAGGTGTATCTGCTTGCCAAACAGGGCTGACAGGAACCAGCAGGGTACCCTTGCTGAAACATGGGAAGTTTAGGGGCCGAAGGTCTACTTGCCATGTTTGACATGACCTTACCGTGTTTGACGGGTTCCTGTCACATCCTCCGGCCCTTCAGCGGTGATCATCATCAGCAGCAGCATCAGCCATCATGATAAGCTTTCAACCGTTTAGACAACGACTCAACCTCTACTATGCAAGGTGGAGGGACCTCCGAGTTATGATCATCAACCAACCATCACACAAATGACATCTTGTTTTGGGGCAGGGTTTGCCCCGAACTAACATTTGTGGCCTTTGACATGATGAATGCCAACATTCCTCACCCAATTGGGCTGAAATTCTGGATGCCAAGATGGGAGAGGGAAGACGCCAATCCGAGCCAAAGCCCCAAGAATCGAAACCCCAATGATCCCCTAGGTTCGGCCTTAGGCCTCAGTAGGCCTGTGTCACCCTCACTAGCTCCAACCCAGCGTGTCTCTCCGGCTTCCTTGGCGTACTGAAGGCGTGGAACTAGAGCAGGGCTCCTTAACAGATACATTTTGCCCATCTGAAACATGTTGCTTTTTCCACCAAAATAAAGGGACGCCACCATTTACAAGGCAATGTTCAGGTGTATAGTGTAAGGATCCCTGTAGAGGTTAGGAGCATGGTATAAAACAAAAGGAAGCCAGCCATTGGCCATTCCTATCCTGAAGAAGATTCCCTCAATTTCTCTTATTGAAATTTGCCAATGTTTGCTTTGGGAAAATCCGTGACCCTTGTAGGACATGCCCAACCATTGGACAGGCAGTTCTTGCTGGCGTAGTAGGTCATTTTTGTTGTGTACTTCCCTGTTGGCCATTCGATTCGGACATCGACCCGTAGAGTTTCTTGAAATTTGAACCCTCCTTCAAGAAACATGGCTTGCATGCTTCATCCCAAAGCCACATACGCGTGCTCCGAACCTTCAATGCGACGATCGCACAAGGCTAGAACAAATGTTCGGGTTTCCTTGACGATTCTTGACCGGTTTTGTGAGGTTGTTAGTTGTTTTGGCTCTGCTGATGTTCAGCGCTGCTGCCAAAAATGCAAGCTTGTTTTTTTGCAATGCCATACCAAGGGTTGGTCCTGGTGTCCTTTAGTTTCGCCTGGATTAGTTTCTACTTTCCCTTGATCCGATCGGGTCAACCCTGCGGGAGGGCATGTTTCGATCGAACTTGTCTCGGCTCAAGCGATTAGCTTCTTAGGCTGTGTGAGCAAAGCTTACATTTTTGGCCTCGGTCTTCCCTATATCAACAAGTTTTTGTAAATCGTGCCTTGGCTGCAACCAGATCTCTTTGACTCTTCCAGGTCCAGGAAAAATACCTTTGCTGTTGGTAGCCTCTTATCCACTAACATGGAACCGGAGGATCATATTCCTGTAAAGTGGATCGTTTGGTGGATTCCATCTACACAATTTTTAACGAGCTCATTCGGTGGTAGAACGATGACAACAGTCCTTACCTTGGGATCCGATTCTTAATGCAGCGTTTGGAATTTTAGTACAATCTGTAGGTTACATATTAATAGCAGAAGGGTAGTTTGAAGATCACCGATTGGCTGCCTTTCATTTTTCTCCGTGAGTGATGTTTCTTTTTGGCCAGTCTTAACTCAGCTTCCCTCCGATTGGTTTGGATTGGTGGTTTGGCGGTTACGGGGTAGCTCAATCTATGCTCAACAAGGACCAGGCGTTCCAATTCTCAAACCACCAATCCAAACCACCAAGTAGGGGTTACCTGACTAACATCACCTGATGTTGCCGTGAGTGTGTCCTGTGTTTGCGCCAAAAACCGATCCCTCCCGCTTGCTCGGTTTTGGGTTTGGAGGACCCTCCACTACAGCCTTCATTCTTGGCAAGTCTGTTTAAGCCAAAGGTCCCAAGACATGATTTTGCAGACGCTGGAATTTTGATGGAAATCAGCTTAGGTTTGATGATTGTTTCTGGCCATGCACTCGTAGCCAGCCCCTCACTCGCGCTATGCAACACTTCGATTGCCTTTGCAACCGTTGCTTGCGCGAATTCAAAGAGCCAGTGCTTGCTTTCGGTACGCCACTATCCTGACCCCACGAGAAACAGATTCGCCCAAGATCGCACATACTCAGGCAGTTCTGGTCCTGATTTGGCAACAACACATACGGGGGGCATTCGACAAAACGGCCAGCACATCCTTTCTCTAGCCGGATGGAGCGTCTGGTGCGCCAAGTGCGGTGTGCACACGCGATATGCTGTTAAGCATAGGAGGCTTAAAATAAGCTGCCGAAAATGCCCGCAGCATCACCTTACCGAGGCCCAGTGGCTGTCGGCCCCTTGTTTCGAGCAACCCACACTGACTCATGGACTTGTTTCACAACACTTTGAGTGCTGCATCAGGCCACACTCTTGTGTGAAATGGCACCGTAAATCGTACGCTTGATAATCCAGGCTGAATCATTTGCTTGACATGTGATGCCAACTTTACTGGGGAGCAGCGCTACAACATGAGGCAGCAGCGCAGCCTTGCAAACGTGTCAGTGTGCCGCGTAAGTCCACACCTCCCAAATGGATTTCTGCACGCGCATTGCAAGACCAGGTTGGTGTTGCCGCGCAACATGAATGCAAATAACGCAGACGCTGCCAACACACCCCAACCCAGCAATCCGCCAGCGGCAATGATTGGCAGTGATTGGCATAACTGGCAAGACCCCAAGAGAGGCTGCCAGCCACCAACCCTCATTGAACGGCTCACAAGTTTCACCTTCTCAGTTTGCACCAGGAAGAGCGGCCTTCCCATGGGCTGAACCGCCCCGCCCCGCATGGGGTGGTGCGGCATCGGCCTATCCCTGACAAGTGAAGCTTTTAGGTACCCTCAGCATTTTCGGCTTATCGCGCAAGCTGCGAATCATCTGCGTTGATGGTCTGACAAACAATGCAAAGCATCTACTTCCTGAGACAGAACAAGAAAGGCAAATCATCTGCATCATCTGCTTTCTGAGACACTGCGACATCCATTTTGCCTATTTTTGCCTTCCTTGAAATCTCATCAGAATCTGATGAGCCTCAACACATACAAAATGTGGAGAAACACTGTAATTTTGCAGTGTTTTATGGCATACCGTATTCTAGGTGTGGATCATGGGGGGTGTGACCCTATATATGTATATAAACACAGCTTTCGCTTTGCCAGCCTTCATGTCTTGGGAGCAGCTCTGAAGTCATCAAGCACAACCCCGAGAAATTGGTACGCAGCCTTCGAGACCCGATGGGACCTCTCAGACCTCGGCGAACAAGTCTTTTTCTTCAATTGAGCGGTTCCAGCGAAGAAGCCGAGCTCAACCACGATTTTGTCTAGCTTGCTTGGGGATTCGCTATATGAACTCGTGGGATCGGAACCCCTCAAAAGTGGTCGAGAAGGGACCCCAAAGAAGGGGCCGTCTGAGAGTTGTTCAAGCTCAAGCAAGATGTTGGAGACCTATTCTTTATGGCTGTTTTGTTTTCATTCTTTCCATGGATCCGGTTTGCCAACTCAGTGGCTTTGAACAGATGGTTGAACAGAACGGGGAATCAAGCATAACTATTGGTACTTCAGCTCTTCCGTTGGATCTCGGGACTTTATACTTTTGAGAAACAGTCAGTTTTCCGTTGGGCTCACAAAAAGTTAAGCCTGTTTACAGAGGGGTCTCGCCGGCAACCAATCATTCTGGTGCTTTGCTTCGCCATTCCCATCGGCCAAAGCCAGCTGTGTCCAAGGCTAAACCTGCGATGGAGGGATGGGCTGGATGGCTGGGTGGATGGATAGATGGACCGAAGGAAGGATGGATGGATAAGTACGTAAAGCGGATAAATGTATGCATGGAGTAGATTGTACAAACCCATGTGTACTCATTTGTCTTTTTTTTTCAACTTTTGTTTTTTTAACGAAGGAAGCCGTTTATTTTTGCCGGGCCCCCCATGTTTGGAAACACACGGCCATATATTTGTCGCCCAGGTCAAAGATGGCTTCCAAGACCCGAGCAGCAGCTTTGGCAGGCCGACGCCTGGGAGTCGGAAACGGCAGTTATTTTATTGAGACGTCCGGAGGGAACCCTCCATTTTTCTGGTTCATCTTCTTTTGCGTGCATTTTGCTTGAATGTTTTCAAAAGAGCTTCTGCGAGCGCCCAGTTGAAATCCAGCCAAAACACCCCGAAATCTGCGACAATTGTTTCGACAATTGTTTCGCAAAACCCTGTGGCCCAAACAATTGTTGCAACAATTGTTGACAAAACCCTGGGGGCCAAAGAATTGTTGCAACAATTGTTTTGACAAAACCCTGGGGGCCAAACAATTGTCGCAACAATTGTTTTGACAAAGCCCTGGGGCCCAAACAATTGTTGCCACAATTGTTTTGACAAAACCCTGGGTCCCAAACAATTGTTGCAACAATTGTTTTGTCAAAACCCTGGGGCCCAAACAATTGTTGCACCAGTTGAACCTGGCAAAACATAGGCATGCAGACAGAACTGCTGCAACCAGTTGTGCAACTCACAGACGCAGCATTTCTTGAAACGTTTTGGTGCTGCAGCAGTTGTTGGACAACTTTGGTGTTGGGCCGGCATGCGATTTCAGTCAGCCGTGTTGCAACTGTTTGGTGCCGCCGTTTGTCAGGCGTCAAGCCTTGCGACTCTTGTAACTTGTAGTTGTAGCCGCCTGGCCTTTTGCAAGCCCCCAGGCGCCTTGAGTGGCCATGGGCCATGGCTTCTTTGATGGACATGGCCCGCATTGCGGCGGCAGCTGCTCAGGCCCCAGCAGCCTTGCGAGCTCCAAGAGCTCGGCTGGGCAAATGGGGAAAACGCATGCGCCGCACAGCGCGAATGCATCAGCTGCGGCGGCATCTGAAGCACAAGGCTGACAGTTTGAGACGTCAGGCCGTAGCTAACAACGCCGGCGGCCGGAGCAGAACCATTGACCACCTGCTGCCCGTCGCAGAAGATGGCCGCAGGGCCAAGCCGTCTGGCAAGGGAGGCTGGAAGAAGTGGACGCCTGAGGCGCTGTTGAGGGCAGCTTTTGCCAGCGAGAATGCGGCGCTTCGCCAAGTTGCGCAAGAAGTTGATGGAGCCAGCGCAGCGCATGCGCGGAGAGCCAGGCTTTTTGTTGCTCAGCTAATCGAGCAAACGCAGCGGGAAGGCATGGACCGTGAGTGCCGCCAGATGGCGCACGCTGCCACTGAGGCTGGACAGGGCCCTCTCTTCCACATTCTAAACATCATGTTCGACGAGACAGAGCTAGATGTCGCCCTGCACGGCCTTGGGCCTGGTACATGGTCCATTTTGGCATCCCACGCGCAGATCAGCGTGCGCGCAGCCGACCAGACCCGAGACTACGACATCGTCCGCCCCCCTCAGGCCTTGCCAAACAAGACTGCGCCCTGCATGTTTGGCGCGCTCTGTCAGAACCTGGGCGGCCTTTGGCCAAGTGAGTTTGCCCAAGCTGCTCGCTTCCCAGTAGTTTTGGTGACTTGTGACCAGTTTAGTGCCAACATACGGCTACTGAAGCACTTGCATGCGTCTTTGCCAGAACATTGTTACCTGCTTCCGAACTTATGCGCCCAACATAGGAATGGCAATGTCGTCGAGAGGGTGACAAAAGCTCTCGGCGTGCTCCCTGGTGCTTTCTGCGTTGCGAAAACTTTGAGCCGAGGGCAGAAAATGAGGAGCCTGATTGCAGCCGTCAAGACAGCCTTGCAAGGAACGCTCATTGTCCTGCCGCAGGAGCCCCCAGGCTTGCAAGCCGAGTGGTTAGCCGGCAGGCAGCACGCTGCCCAGTTTTTGGAGCTCGCCTTTGGCGCAGTTACTGAGAACAAGCGCCGGGCACGGCGGGCCCAGGAGTTCTTGGCCTTCTTCGCCGGGCCCTGGTCAGGACTGACCTGTGGGGGGTGTGTGCATGCAAACGGTCGGGGGTGGTTGGGGGGGGCATGTTCAGGCACACAACTTGCAGTGCAACTAACATGGAAAAGGGGAAATCTCATGGAGAACCTACTGCTGCACTGAAAGTTTCCAGGGCCTGGCTTGTCATTTTTATTCCAGGCCCTGGCCTCATATCTGAACCTTGAGTTTTACACCGGCTCCTGTTATCTGAAATGATTTCCAGGGCCTGGCTTGCTGATTCATGGCTGGCCCTTCTGCATGTTTATTCCAGGCCCTGGCCTCTGATCTAAACCTTGAGTTTTACACTGGGTCCTGGTTTACCTCTGACATGATTTCCAGGGCCTGTAGTTGCTGCTTGCGGTTGTGCCCTTGGTTCATTTCTGCAAGACCAGACAAGACATGAAAGTGGCCTGTGGCCGAGTTGTGATATGGCCTGTGGCCGAGTCTTCGTCGGGAACGCAGGCTGCGCTTGTCCACGGCTTTGCGTGACCGCTTGTTGTTCGTCAGCAGCCGTTTTGCTCAAGTTCACGCGCTAGCCCTGGCGACTCTCAGCCTTGGGTTGCCAGCAATGGCTGACAGTCGCTTCGTGGAGGCCTCCACGTTCGGGCTGGGCAAGTGCTTCCTGCCTGGTGACTTGAGGAGCAGCCAGCTCCGCGGCCTCTGGCCTAGTCCTGAAATGGGTGAGACCGGCTTTGCCGAAGGTCTTGGCATTTTGAAGGACTACTTGGTCACTGACGCGTATGGCGGTGTCAGCGCAGTGCGCTACGCACGAGACGAGTACAACCGGAGGCATGGTCGCTCAAAGAGCGGCAAAGTAGTTCAAGCATGATCGGCTTACCCAGGGCTCAAAGGCCAAAGGCCAAAGGCTACCGGGTAGGGAAGGGGGTCAAAGTACTGTTAGGTCGAAGCCCCCAGCCTGAGCCTGACTGCTTTTGTAAGCCCAAGAACGAAGTGATGTTTGCTTGCTCCATGTTCTCTGTAAACCTTTCAGGAGCCCAATGCACGTCATGCTGGACATCCCAGGGGGCGGCAAGCTGTGGCTTGGAGGACAGGCAGCGCTGACGCCCAATAGCCTCATGCAGAACGAGATCAGTGTTGTCTGGCCTGCTTGCAGGGCGGTTGTAGGTGAGGAGGAGACCTGCTGCGCGCGCTTTTTGGAGCCCGTGGACGGCACGGCCGTTGTCCACAATGACGTGCCCCTGGCCCAGTTGCTCGAGCTTGTGGACGAAGTCATCCGCCTCTTGGTCGTGGAAAAGCGCTCCGTGCTTTCGGTGTGCAGGAACGGTGCCCACAGGTCTGCGACCTTGTTGTGTCTTACTCTTATGAGGCTTTTCGGGTGGACGGCGCAGGAGTGCGAGCGTCACGTGACGCAGCTTCGCAACATCGTCGACATGCGCAGCAGGGTGCCCCCAAGCGCAAGGCGTGTGAACACGGTGCGTCCTGTGGACTGGTTGGCTGAGGTCTCTGACCAAGTTCGGCAAGACCGCCCGGTCTATGATGTTGCCGTGAACCAGATGTGCACCCCTCTTCAGCTGACCCAGAAAGCGCTGAGTCTTGGCTTTGTCAATAGGTGCTTTGTGAGGAAGGTGCGAAAGTTGGAGGCGCCTATGTCAGGCCCAAAGCCTGGCGAGGGCCGCGAGGGTACGTCACCGAGTCAGACGCTGGAAGCACGGTCCTTGTGGGCAGGAAGGAGCGCTCGTCCAGCGGTGATGGCGCGGACACCTCTGAGGCTCCTGCGTCTGATGCTGAGTGCTCCTGGGTGATGGCCGGCGGTGGCAGTCCACAGTCCACGCCTCGTGGATCTACTTCCAGCGTGGACTCCGACATGGCCGCTGAGCTCCGCCAGCGCAAGTTGAACGGCAAACCTGAGGCAGTTGGACCAGAAGGTGCTGGCCCTGACAACAGCGCCTGAGGGCTCGGCCAGTGTCAAGGGGCAAGATGGCGAGGCTCAGGGCTCGGCCCCAGTCCAAGAGATGGAGAACCAGAAGGATGCAGCGGCCACGGACGCCAACACCGCCGAGAGGAAGCTGGAGGGGCAAGGCCTGACAGTCTAAACAGTCTAAACTAAACATTCAAACCCTTATTTGCAGGTTTAAGTCACAGTCTAATGGTGCATTGACTACGCAGTTTGGTAGCTAAGGCCATTCAGTACAGGAAAATCCAGGAAAACCAATGCACGTGCTCATCTGAGCGCGTCGCCCCTTGCAGGCTTGCTGCCGGTGAAGGAGGAGGCTGACTGGGATGACGACAACAGTGCCGAGCAGCAGCAGCCCCAGGAGAAGGAGGAGGAGCGGCAGCAGCGTCAGGCAAGCGACCCTGTGTCAGGTAAGGTCTTGGACCAAGTCCTGAGGTTGCTGGAGACCCAGCAGCTTTCGCAGCAGGCCTTAATCGACAGGCTTGAACAGGAGAAGGTCTCTAAGACATGGGCCAGGGACGCCTTCCAGCACCTGATCACTGGATCGGTCTTGGACTTTGTTGCCCACCTGAGCAGTGTGCCTGACAGGATGCTCCTCGACGCTAGGGACAGCAATGGTTTGACTTTGCTGCACCATGCAGCCCGCATGGGCGTCACCTTGGCAGTGGACACTTGCTTGCAGAAGTGCCCCTTGCTCGCAGACGCCGTCACCAACATGAACGGCAAGCCCGCCAATTGGACAGCTCTCATGGCCTTGATCGACGCCCGGCCGAACAGTTTCCCGGGTGGCAATGACACGCTCTGCCACTTGGCCAGCGTCCTGTGCAACCACATGACGGCCGGCGGTCTTCAGGTGCGATCCCCGTCTGGGGCAACTGCCTTCTCAATGGCAGCCTCCAGGGGCCAGCTGCGGGTTGTCAAGGCCCTTTGCTGGGCCTTGTACCACAAGCTGGGCGACTCTGAGCTGGCGTGGTCGCAGGTCCGGCGCGTGATCAATACCCCGTCGGGGCCTCGAGGGGCTGGCTGCGTGGACCAGGCGTTGTCCACCTCGACCAACCTGGCCATGTACTTGAAGAACCAGTGGGGCGGGACAGAGTTGTTGCCCCCGCCAACCACCCCAAAGCGCAGCTGGGGTTGGGGATCGTCTTGGTCCTCCTGGCAGGAAGGGAGGTGGTGAAAGGCGGCTTTCAGCCAAGTCTGTGGCTGCATG